TGCATGCCTTTCATTTGGCAAAAATATTTATCACATTTTTACTGAGGTATAATTCACATGCCGTAAAATGCTCCCTTTTAAAACATGCAATTTGTTGGTTCCAACTGGAAAATGTTTAGAGTGGTGCAACCACCACCCCGCTCCAACCCAGAGCATTTTACCCCCCAGGCAGGAGCCATCAGCAGCTGCCCGCCCCGTGCTCGGCAGCCCCGTCCCTGCGTTTGTGTTTTCTGGGCGTCTCATCAGAGTGGACTCACAGCCCACCGGGCTATTGTGTATTCAGGATACTAAAGCCACTTTTGTAAAATATTTTATCATAACTGGGGTTTTCTACGACTTAGTTATACGTTAGCTTTATTGGGAATAAAATCTTAAACACTCTTTACACCGGGCTCTATTAACTTGAGTCAGTCATATGGCCACAGTGGCGGGCACGATATTGACCAACTCTAATGGGCAGTGTAACTTAGTTAAACTTTCGTTCATTGCTAAAAGTTTGTCACTGCTGTTTCCCGTGGGGGCGTGGCTAAGCAAAGTGTTTTGAGCTGCATGTGTGTGTGCTTGATAACTCGGTCCTCATGTTCTGATAACCTAGAGGGCATTTTCACAGGGCTGTGGCTGCTTGCATGTGTAGTCTCACTGAGAGCTAATAGAAAGGCTAGGAGGAAACCTATGTGTTTATGGGGTGACGATGACCCGTCTAGACATTTTCAGTATCTTGCTTTAAATATTAAGCTATATTAACTTGATAAATGCTTAAATAAATATATAGTGGCAGGCTTATATAGATTTGAAATTTAACTTACTGTATTAGTATAAGTATGTTTTCTGAAGGACGTGGTTTAAGGTATGTGGGGACTAACCACGGGCAGTACTACCCATTGCTGTATGGTGTAATTGTAGGCTAAGTTTTCCAGTTCGCAGGACTTGTATTAGTAAATAATGTTAGTAGTGGGATGTCTCTTCATGGTATCTGCCTCAGAAAACACAATTGTATCACTGGTCATCAGAGAAATGCAAATCAAAACCCCATTGAGATACCATCTCATGCCAGTTAGAATGGCGATCATTAAAAAATCTGGAGACAACAGATGCTGGAGAGGATGTGGAGAAATAGGAACACTTTTACACTGTTGGTGGGAGCGTAAATTAGTTCAACCATTGTGGAAGACAGTGTGGCGATTCCTCAAGGACCTAGAAATAGAAATTCCATTTGACCCAGCAATCTCATTACTGGGTATATATCCAAAGGATTATAAATCGTTCTACTATAAGGACATGTGCACACGAATGTTCATTGCAGCACAGTTTACAATAGCAAAGACCTGGAACCAACCCAAATGCCCATCGATGATAGACTGGACAGGGAAAATGTGGCACATAGACAACATGGAATATTATGTGGCCATCAAAAACGATGAGTTTGTGTCCCTTGTAGGGACATGGATGAACCTGGAAACCATCATTCTCAGCAAACTGACAGAAGAGCAGAAGATCAAACACAGCATGTTCTCACTCATAGGCAGGTGTTGAACAAAGAGAACACATGGACACAGGGAGGGGAGCATTACACACTGGGGTCTGTTGGGGGGAAATAGGGGAGGGACGGTGGGGGTGGGAAGCTGGGGAGAGATAGCAAGGGAGAAATGCCAGATGTAGGTGATGGGGAGGAAGGCAGCAAATCACACTGCCACGTGTGTACCTATGCAACAATCTTGCATGTTCTTCACATGTACCCCAAAACCTAAAATGCAATAAAAAAAATAAATATTAAAAAAATAAAATAAAAAAAGAAAATACGGATTGTGCTTAAGGTTTGGTTGTAGGAGTGGTGGCTTTGCTTCACACGTGGGATATGCTTCCTGGCCCCACGCACACTGGCCTGGGTGTCGGCGCTTCCTTCCTTCCCGTGGCTGATTAACACGCCTCCTTTTGTCTATCCCTTTGTCAGTGGACCTGTGTCTGGAGGCGGCCACTTTTGTCTTTTGTGAACAGCGCAGCTGTGAACCTTATGCCGAATTTTTCCTGCCCTCCAGGCGTCACTCGCGATGGTTCCCTTGGTCAGTTTGAGTCTTCGGGTCCGTCCCATCAGCACGGCATAGATTTTTACTTCAGTCGGGACTTGTGCCGACCAGGGGACATGCCACGTGGCTTTCTCGGTGCAGTTAGGACAGCTGGGTTGCTACCGAGTCGTTAGGAAACCTGCTAATTGACAGAGACAGTCTGGTGCCTGGTTTCAGCTTTGCTCTGCTGATGGAAGCCTCTGGCCGTGGCTGGGACCGCTGGGAGGAGTTGCGTGGGGCTGGCTGAGCGGTGTCACAGGTCCTGCCTGGGAACGAGGAGAAGCAGTCTGGGATCCCTATCCCCCTGCCCTGGAGAGCTTCCTGCCTGCTCATGTCTTTACTCTGAATCCTGAAAACAACTCCATGTGGCGTGACCCGTTTTTTGTTTTGTTTTTTGTTTTGATAGAGTCTGGCTCTGTCATCCAAGCTGGAGTGCAGCGGCACCATCTTGTCCCTGCAGCCCCACCTCCCGGGTTCAAGCAGCTCTCCTCCCTCAGCTTCCCAAGTAGCTGGGACTACAGGTGCCCCCACACTCAGCTAAATTTTGTATTTTTTTTTTTTTTAGTATATGGGGTTTCTCCATGTTGGCTATGCTGGTCTTGAACTCCTGGCCTCAAATGATCAATCTGCTGTGGCCTCCCAAGTGCTGGTATTACAGGTGTGAGCCACCGTGCCCGGCCAAGACCCCGTTTTGTCTGTGCCCCCGTTTATGCACAGCGCAGGTGGCCTTGGGTTCAAGACAGGTGAGGTTCAGGAGTTACACGATTGGGCTCCTGAGTTTGTTTTTGTTGTCACTGTGCAGAGAACCAGAGTCTTGGGGCTGAGAGGACCTTGAAGGTTAGCTCTCCTAATCCTTTCGTGTGGCTGCTGATGACATTTGGCAGAGAAACATGGCGTGATGCAGCCAGTGAGCGGCAGCGCCCGGGTGCCCTGTCCCAGGCGCTGGCAAGTTTGTGACCGTGTCTGCGCCCTCTGGGGGTCCTGTGTGTTGTCGTCTGTGTTGCTTTTGGGCAGTTTAGTCTTAGAATTTGGACCTTTGTGGAGAATACAACACAAAGAGCTCCCTTTGAAGTGCGAACCTGAAGAGACACTTCGGCTTCTGACCTTCCTGATGCCCTGGGTGAGGCCGTCTGAGTGACCTCGTGGCCTCGAGTCCTTTCCTTATCCAGACTGGTGTCTGCCGTGCTGACGAGGCTGGCAGGCAAGGGGGCCGGCGGTGACGGAGCTTCCTGGCATCGGTGTTCAGTTTTGGGCCCCTGGGTCGTGGCCCGTGGGTAAAGCCAGGAACCAGAAAGCAGCCTCAAGGGACTCTCCCGTCCCCATCGCCCAGGGGACACCTGCGAAGTGACATCTCCCACGGGATGTGGCTGTCCTCGAACGTGTATGCACTTCATCTCAAGCGGGTTTTGCTGCTGTGGAGGGTTTAGGAAGTCCCGCCGCATGTAGGCAGGCGATTTATTTTCTGGTGTCATAGCACAGACAAAAATAGTCCTTCCCACTTGTGTCCGTGTAAATGGCACTACACCATAGCACTGTATGTGAGCCGCGTTCAATGTGATTATTTAGTAAGTGTCTGCGCGGCAGTGTGGAGAGTATGGACCGGACTTCCTCAGTTCATCCCGATTGTGCCTCCCTGAGACAGGGTCCCTTTGTGGCTGGCTGGAAGTGGCCCGGAAGCATGGGCTTGCCGTGGCGTAGGCTCACCGTGGCATGGGCTCACCGTGGTGTGGGCACAGCCACACAGCTCCAGGGAAACATTCAGCTTTCAGAGCCAGTGTCTGGGCTCCTGGCCACTCCCAAAATTGAGATGTTGTCTTTGAAGCTTAGAAGAAAGTTTCTAGGATTTTTACTTTTGTATTAAAAGATATCTGTATGGTTTTCTTTTTCTGGTTCACTTATATGCTTATTCGGTGCAACATCCTGGTTGCATGAGAATGAGAAGCATCTGTTTGGCTGTGTTCTGAAAGAAGAAAGGAGCCAGGGACTTTTCTTAGCCTTCATAGGCAGCAGCTTATTCTGAAGCTCTTAGGACGCTTTTAAAGTCCACATCCCTTAGGTTTGTTGGCCTCACCACAAAACAGAGGCGGCAGGGAGGCCCCGTCCCAGAGGAGGAGGGCCTCTTTGTGTGGGGAGGGGCAGCCAGGCTGTTGAATGGCCAGGGCAGTGAGGTGACACTGTGCACCTGGCTTTGAGTCTGGGATGGCAGTTAGTGCCGTTCAAGGGCAAGCAGGAGGTGGAAGAAGGCAGCGTTATTGAAGAGGCCATGTCGCAGCTCTGTGACTGCTCCTGCAGAGCAGGGTGCCCCACAGGCGGGGAGGAGCCGCTCAGGGCAGTGCTGCAGCCATACGTGTACCCACTTCTAATTGCAGGCAGCTTAAGGGGTGGTTTATGCAGAAATTTCTAGGGGAAGAATAGTAATTTCTAGGCAGTTGGGTCATTGCCACGGAAAGGGGGGTGCAGCTCCCGGCTGTTGCCATGGCAATGGTAAACTGACAGGCACATGGGGGCGTGTTGTATGGAAAGCTGCCTCTACCCCAACCCTGTTTTCACTAGTCCTCTATCTGGTCCGGTGTCCAAGCCCCACCCCTAAGGTGGAGTCCCGCCTTCTGCCTCAACTTCATTGTCCCTTCCCTTTTGGAAGCCTTTTGATTTAGCGGTGTGTTCTGTTCTCATGTCACACCCTGTGCTGTTTCCACTGGCAGTCAGCTTTGGTGTTCACTTTGTGGCTGTCACGGGGGCACCACGTCTCCTGGTGCTCACCTGGAGGCCTTGGCCTGGCCCCTGAGGGCTGCATACGACAGGGTGGTGGGGGCCGGGGCGCTGGGACCGGTGTCCCCCCCAGCCCTGAACGAGGCACTCAGCAGCAGGTTTGCTCTGGGGAAAAGCGTTTGCATGTGGGTTCTGAGGCAGCTGCCTGACATTGTTCTCCTTTCCCAGTGTGCAGGAGAAGAGAACTGGGTGGACAGCAGGACCATCTACGTGGGGCACAGGGAGCCACCTCCGGGCGCAGAGGCCTACATCCCACAGAGGTACCCAGACAACAGGATCGTCTCTTCCAAGGTAACTGTCTTGGGTCTGAGGGTCTATGGGTCTCTAGAGCAGCTGCCTGGGGGTGTTAGTGCTTCTCGGTTTCAGAAACCAGCTCTGCTCCTGGCCCTGCTGTCACGGCCACCAGCACCCCCAGCAAGGGTTTCGGATCAGAACCTCACTGAGGGTGCGGGACTTGCCCTCCCGGTGATCGTCCACAGGAGGCTTTCCCCTGGCCAGGCCTCACATCACGGTGTCTCTATTCTCGGGTGACCGTGTCACAGAGGCAGTGCAGGTCTCACGTCCAGGATTCAAACCCTACCCAGCTCCCACTTCTGAGGCGCCTGGCCACGTGCTTGTCGTGGGCCACCCTGGCCAGAGTCTCGGAGCTGGTAGGATGGAAACGATACCAGCCACCCCGGACAGCAAAGCCCGGGGCAGATCTTTGAGCTGGTTCGCGACGTGCAGCCAAGGCAAAGCGCAGGTGACATGAGTGCAGTGCCACAGTCGAAATGAAACGTGTTTCTCTTCGTGGACAGGAGCGTGGATGTGCACTCACATTTCCCACATTCAGAGAGTGACGAGGAAACGGGTTTTAAGAATAGGGTGGAAATTTAGCGGCTGCCATTAAAAGTGGGGCAGACGGTGCTTTCCAGATAGTGCAGAACGCATGAGCCTGTGTTCAGACGCCTCCCTTTAGCTTCATTCTCCTTCAGAATGGACGAGGCTAAACACAGGCACACTCATGGCCGGCTGCACACGTGGACACGTGAGGCAGCCACAGAATTCGCACGTGCATCCTGACATTCTAGATACACTTAATTCACACCGGGTGTCTTGACATGTAAACCCCTGTGGAGACCTGTTCAATTCACACTGAGTGCCCGATGTATAGACCCCTGTGATAGACCTACCTAATCCACACTGGGCATCCTGGAATGTATACCCCTGTGTAGACCTACTTAATTCACACTGGGTGTCCTGACGTGTAGACCCTGTGAAGACCTACTTAATTCACACCAGGTATCCTGACATGTAGACCCCTGTGATAGACACACTTATCCTGACCTATAGACCCTGTGTAGACCTACTTAATTCACACCAGGTGTCCTGATGTATAGACCCCTGTGATGGACCTACTTAATTCACATTGGGTGTCCTGACGTGTAGACCTGTGTAGATCTACTTAATTCACACCAGGTATCCTGATGTGTAGACCCCTGTGCTAAATCTACTTAATTCACATTGAGTGTCCTGATGTATAGACTCTGTGAAAACCTACTTAATTCACATCCAGGCATCCTGATGTGTAGACCCCTGTGCTAAATCTACTTAATTCACATCAGGTGTCCTGACATGTAGACCCTGTGTAGACCTACTTAATTCACATTGAGTGTCCTGATGTGTAGACTCTGTGAAAACCTACTTAATTCACATCCAGGCATCCTGACGTGTAGACCCCTGTGCTAAATCTACTTAATTCACACTCAAGCGTCCTGGCATACAGATTCCTTTGGTTATTATTTATGTGCTCTCAAGAGTTGCACATTTTTAAGAATATTTTACAACAGAAAAGATCACCTTTTCAAAGCCTTTTTATGGAATTATTTAATTTGTAACTGTGGATTACAAAAAATTTTAATAGCTTTAATCTGTAGAAACAGGACATATAAATGCTCAAAAACAAAGTCCAATCAGATGAATGTTGTGGGTGTTTTCCCAGTCATGATTCATGGAAGAAGTGTACTGATGAGAAGTCACATCCAAAACGCTGTCTCTGCAGTGGTAAGGTCTGTAAAGTTATCACGTCAACGCAGTCTCAGGCAGAGCTCACTGAAGATGGTTTCCAAGCTAATATGCACTTCACCCACCCTCGAGGCCCACACGAATCCTAGATGTGCTCCTTTGAACTCAGCTTTCACAGCACAAAGGCACAGGGAAGCAGGAAGCACCCAGTGTCAACATGTGGTGCCCCTGTGGATCGTAGGGCAGGATTCCGGGACACAGGTGATGGGCGCTTGGAGCCGTGGCTCCCCAACTGCGCAGTGTTGCCCATCCGAGCCGGATGGGGGCCATGAAGGCATCACCCAGCCCACGCCCCCCCACCCCCCAGGAGCTGGCTTCTCCCTTCTTAGGGCAGACTTGCCCGACAGCCACACACGCCTGGTTCTCCCTGCAGATGTGGAGGGTGCTGTGTGGGGCCACAGGGAGGAAGCCAGCAGCAGTGGCAGAGCTTGATTGAGGCGCCAGAGGAGGGTCCCGGTCTACCTGGCGGGGGCTGGGGGGGGGCTGGCAGGAAGCTGAGGGCGGTTTTGGAGGAGATAACAGAACACGGCAATTTCTGCCTGCCACTCCTGACTCCTCTGCTGTATCATTCAAGTTCTGTCATTTTCCTAGTGTCCGCTTCGACGTCCCTGCAGACAGTGGCCCTGGTGGCTTCGTGCTGCCCACCCTGCTCCCTGGCTCTGCGCTACCCTCTCCCCCACTCGGCTGGGCCCTTCCTCTCCACTGCTGCCGGTGGAACTGGAGCCCTGTGAAGCCGCTTCAGTTTCCGATCCAGGAAGTCCTGCGCTGAGTAGGTTGTCAGGATGGGTTTTGTGGGCTGATTGCTGGTTTCCAGGGCCTTTTCAGAGCTGTAAGGGTTTTTCCTACCAGGAAGCCCTCGAGCAGGAACTCACAGAGGGGGGTCAACAGGCTCTCAGGAGCGGCATGAGCGCAGGTGGAGGGCCCTTGGGGCCAGGAGAGCACTCGGACGCCTTTCATCTCAGCCTCCGAGGACCAAGGGGGCCTTTGCTCTCACACACTCCCACGAGTTGGCCAGTCTTCGCTCTTCACAGAGGTGGGGTAAGCGGCCTAGTCTCCGTTTCAAGTGGATGAGGTTGTGTAATTTCAAGGGAAAATGCCGTCCGGCGTAACCTCTTTTGCTGATGACACCCAGGAAGGAGAGGCCCTCAGAAAGGGTGCGGTCTGGAATCTGGGCAGGTAGCTGGCCTGACGGTGACCTTGATCCAGATAAACCGAAGTGGAATTCTCGAGCCTGGAGTTGAGGACTCATAACTGTTTTCGTGTAACAGCTCAGGATGTGTGAAAAAATGCTGTCTAGTTTGTAAAACATAAGTTTACAACTGATTTTGGAGAATACATTTGTGGTGATGTATCTATGTTTTCCTGAGGTGGGGGAGAAAATGATTTCTACCTTAAAAAAATGCTAGTAGTTAAGACTTTTTAAGTGCCACAGAAGCTTGTTCTCTGCAAGTTTGCTTTTATGAAATCAAAGAATGTGAAAGGCTTTTTCATGGAAGAAGACGTCATAGGGGATGACAGTGCCAGTGGAATTACTTTTAAGTTCTCATCTGTTTGGTGGAAGTGCAGTTACCGGTGATCAGTGATTGACAGAGTTCTGTTTCCTCCTTGGGGGAGAGACTTTGGGCAGTGTCAAAACCCAAAACGACAGCCCAGTGCGCCCCATTCCCTGCTTTCTGCACTGTGCAGAGCTCCCCCAGGCCTGCACCCCCCACACGGGGAATCCTGAACTCCAGAGCTCCCCCAGGCCTCCCTGCGCCCCCCGCATGGGAAATCCTGAACTCCAGAGCTCCCCCAGGCATGCCTGCCATCCCCATGGGGAGATTCCTGAACTCTAGAAAGTGATGGGTTGCCTCATACCTCCTTTTCCAAATTTGTACTTCGGGCACAGAATTCACATGGTTCCCAGCTTTGCCCTCAGGAGGCTACAGAATTAAATCTTGGCCTAGCCTATACTGTCCCTCCATGCCTTCAAGAAAGCAGAGTCCTTCTGGTAATTGGGTAGGAAAAATGCCCTCTGCAATTCGTAGGTATAGCCAGTGTTTTCAGGACTTATATTTGTATGAATGATTTCCATGTTTATTACATCATACAAGCTCTAAAACAACGCTGTGCACCCACCAATACTGATTATTCCCAGCGTATTCATGAAGAAGCCGTGGCTTAGAGCTCAGTCATGTGCCTGAGGCCACAGAAGAGGATAGGCTAATCTGTAGTCCCTGTAGGCTGGAGTGCAGTGGTGTGATCCTGGCGCACTGCAACCTCCACCTCCCAGGTTCAAGTTATTCTTCTGCCTCAGCCTCCCGAGTAGCTGGAACTACAGGCGCACACCACCACACCCAGCTAATTTTTCTATTTAGAGTAGAGGTGGGGTTTCAAGGCTGGCCTTGAACTCCTGACCTCAGGTGGTCCGCACACCTCGGCCTCCCAAAGTGCTGTGATTACAGGTGTGAGCCACTGCTGCTGTCCAGGAGCACTTCTCTTAGCCCCTCTGGGTGCTCGTGCATTTCCGGTGTCATTGATCCACCGTACTGGCATAATTTTCTGTGTTTTGCATCCCCGCTGCCCAACCTTAAATGAAAGACCCCAGCTCCGTGTGAATGGTTTGCTGTCCGAAGCAGATAGGCGTCCGGTGTCCCCATCATTTTCAGGACTGTCAGGTGGGCCCTGCAGTGCTGGAGCCATTTCAGCTAAACACTAGCTGAGGCTTCAGACAGCTAGCAGGTGCTCCTGCGGGCACCCAGGCTGCTGGCAGAGGACAGTGCCCGGGTTTGTCTCGGGGCCAGGTGAGGCCGTGCTCTTTCCTATCTACACACCACACTGCGGGCGAGTAACACAAACCAGAGACTGGCAGAGGTTGCAGTGAGCCAAGATCACACCACTGCACTCCAGCCTGGGCAACAAGAGTGAAAACTCCATCTGAAAAAAAAAAAAAAAAAAAGTGAAGCATCTATGCATAATGGAAAAACCAAAAGAAGGGGGAAAGAAGGAACAGAAGAAACATCTTCAGTAAAAGTGGCTATTTCCAAAATTAATGACAGATGGCAAACCACAGATCCAGGAAGCTCAGAGATAAATACAAAAGCAAAATAAATTTTTAAAAAGGGTACACCTAGACATATCACGTTTAAATTGCAGAAAATTAGACTCAGAAGAAATCTTGAAAGAAGTCAGAGGAAAAGAACATTTTACCTACTGAGAAACAAGGGTAAGAATTACATCAAATTTCT